TTCGTGGCAGCCGGCGGCGTATGTGCCGACGCGAGCCCCGCCTCGCCGTCCTCGAACGCACGGCAGCGGGCCGGGTCCGCGCCTGGCGAGATTGTGCCCGAGATCTCGCCGAGGTGCGGTCGGTATCGAGCCGCGAACGACTGCGCTGTTACTCGAGGAATCTTCGGCCCCATCTCGGCTGGCTCTCGGCTGCATCTCGAGGCCCGCGCCGAGGCGCCGCGCGGCCTCGAGGAAGATGTCCGGCGCGGGCTTGCCTGTTCAGTCCCAAAGTCGACGGCTGTCCTCCACGTCTCGCCCCTCGCCTCTTCTATCCAAGGCGTGCCCGCCGCCACCTCGTGTCACTTCGTGCCATCTCGTGCCATCTCGTGTAATCTCGCGCCTGCCGCCACCTCCGCCGCGCACACCACGTTCCCCAGCCTCGAGTTGAAGATGTCCGCGAGCCCAGCGCTCTCGAGGTGCCGCTCCACGTGCTCCCGCAACCTGTTGGCAGCCTCCTTTCGATAAGCAGTCGGCGCGTTGTCGGCGCTCGACGTGCCGCTCGCGCGACCCGCTGGTGGCCAGGCAGACGGGCACTCCTCGCGCGAGCGCCCCACGCGCGAGCGCCACCACGCACGCAATCGGCGCCGGCGCGCCGATCTTCTCCTCGGCCTGCAGGTGCGCCCGCTTCTTCTCCGCCAGAAAGGCGGCCACAAAGGCGTCGGTCGCGTCGGTGCCCTTTTGAGCGCGGTGCATCTCCCGCACGATGTCGGGCAGCGGCTTGCCCGCGAAGCCGTAAAAGTCGTCCTCCGACATCGATAGGCCGTGCTGAGGGCACACCTCGGCCCACGAGTGATAGAAGAGTGGCATCGTGTCAATGAGCGTGCCGTCGCAGTCGAATAGGAGGCCGGCCAGGTCGGCGTCAGCGACAAAGTGCGACCCGACGGTGCGCTGGCCGTCGGGGAGAGACATAATTGACCCTCGTTCCGACGAGCGACCGCCGACGAGCGACCAGTACCTGCACGAAGAGGGAGGCGGAGTGTGGAGAGAACAAGAAAAACGCGGCAGCGCTTCCATACCGCCCTGGTGTCCAGCCCGAGCCTGGCTGTTCTCACGCCTATTCATCTGACTGCAATCGTAAATACCTAACTGAGGCGACCAAGAAACAGAAACTGAGGCGACCCAAGGCACGAGTAGTGGAGGCGGAGCAGCAAAAAGAAAAACGGCCCGGCGGGCAGGAGCCCCACGGCATTCAAAGTGCAAGCACCGGCCCGGTGCCGTGTGGGTGAGCAACCTGCACCCCACTCCCTTCGCGCTGGTGTCCAGCCCGAGCCTGGCTGTTCTCACCCCTATTCATCTGACTGCAATCGTAAATACCTCACTGAGGCGATTAAGAAACAAGAAAAATATCCTCCAACTTGGGGCAAGGCGGGACCGTAGTCCGAGCCCGATGGCGATGCCTCACTGCCCCGGCGCCAACGCCTCGACCTTCTTTGGCAGCAGCTGGTTCGTCTGGTCCTCTCCGTGGCCTAGGCAGGCGTCTTCGCCCCTGCCCCAGGTAAAGACGGCGCCGTCGGCGGTGAGGGCGAGGCTGTGGAATGCTCCAGTCGACACGGCGATGACGCGCTGGCCAGCAAAGGCCTCGACCTTCTTCGGCTGCTGCTGGCTCTGCTCGTCGCCGTGGCCCAACCGGCCATTGCCTCCATTGCCCCAGCTCCAGATGGCTCCGTCGGAGGTGAGGGCGAGGTTGTGGCGGGCTCCAGCCGACACAGCGACGACGCGCTGGCCAGCCAAGGCCTCGAGCTTCTTCGGCAGCAGCCGGTCCTGCACGTCGCCGTGGCCCAACCGGCCAAAGGCTCCCCAGCCCCAGCTCCAGACAGCGCCGTCGGCGGTGAGGGCGAGGCTGTGGGCATCTCCAGCCGACACAGCGACGACGCGCTGGCCAGCAAAGGCCTCGAGCTTCTTCGGCAGCAGCCGGTCCTGCACGTCGCCGTGGCCCAACCGGCCAAAGGCTCCCAAGCCCCAGCTCCAGACAGCGCCGTCGGCGGTGAGGGCGAGGCTGTGGCGGGATCCTGCCGAGACGGCGACGACGCGCCACCCAGCAAAGGCCTCGACCCTCTTGGGCAGCAGCTGGTCCTGCTCGTCACCGTGGCCCAGCTCGCCAAAGGCTCCCCAGCCCCAGCTCCAGACAGCGCTGTCTGCGGTGAGGGCGAGGCTGTGCGCGGCGCCAGCCGACACAGCGAAGACGTGATGGCCATCAAAAGCCTCGACCTTCTTCGGCTGCCACTGCTCCTCCTCGTCGCCGTGGCCCAGCTTGCCCTCCCCTCCATCGCCCCAGCTCCAGAGGGCACCGCCGGCGGTGAGGGCGAGGCTGTGGTACACAGCCGACACGCTCACGGCGCGCTCACCCAGCGTCGACGGGAGGCGGGTCGGCGTGTTGAGCCGCGTCACGCCCTCGCCGTGCCCGAGCAGGGCTGGCGCGTAGAGCGGCGCTGAGCCGCACGACGAGAGCCGCCCCTCGCCGTCGATGAAGAGACTGTGCAGAGCGCTTCCCGCCGCCCTCGCCGGCGGGTTGGACTCGCAAAGCAACGCTGCGAAGCACAGCCACCGCACGGCGCAGACCTCGCCCTCTGGCTGCGCCGGCAGCTCGAAGCCGCGCTCTTGCGCCCACAAGCGGATGCCCTCCACCGCTAGCGAGCCGTGGAAGAGGAGCGAGACGGCCGCGGCGCGAGCGATGTCGAGGGGGTCGCAGCGAGAGACGACGCGCACGAGGAGGTCCGTGGGGAGTTCGAGGAGGCGGGTGGGCGGCGGCGTGTCTGGCGAGGGCGCGGCGGTGGCGGCGGGTGCGAGGCGGCGCGAGCGGCGCGGCGGAGTGGACATCGCGAGAAAAAGAATTAATGACGCCACCGATAAAAATTCAAAAAAAAACTCTCGCACCTAGTGGGGAGGGAAATAGCGGTGGCGAGACACACGTGGCCAGCCGATGCGTGGCTGTCTCATCCCGAGGTTCCCTCGCCGGCCGCCTCCAGCCAGCGCGGGCACGCCGCGTCGGGGTGGCCGCGGTACAGCCAGCCGTCGGCCAGCACCGCGCTCTCGCTCTCGTGGAGGGCGCCCTCCGGAGGGATGTGCCTCCAGCAGCGCTCGCACCGCGGCGCCGTCGCGCGCTGCACGAGCAGCCGCACCGACCAGCCGGCACACCCCTCCCCGCCCTCCGCGCCGCCCTCCGCGCCGCCCTCCGCGCCGCCCTCCGCGCCGCCCTCCGCGCCGCCCTCGGCCACGATCTCTCCCCCGCCCCACGCGGCGACGGCGGCCGCCGCGTCCTCTCCCTCGCCACCGGCGGCGGAGGCGCCGACGACACGCGTGCCACACGGACACACGGTGTACTAGCACGGCGCATCCTGCGCCGTGCCCCATGAATGTCGATACTCCAGCATCACACCCTCTGTGCCACAATCGTGTCACGTGGACGTCCCTTAGTCGGCGCGTCTTGTCTGTCGCGATGTCCTAGACGTCGTGCCTTTCTGGTCCTTTACAACCCTTCAGCCAGCCACCCTCCGGCTCTGAGCCTCCGCGCTCAAAACGACCCTACCTACCCCGTCATGACGGCCAAGCAAAAAGAAGTTTACAACAAAAAGAAGACAGACTTGAACCAAATTTTCGTTTTTCTTTTCTCCTTGCCCGCCGCTGTCTCCGCCGTCTCCGCCGTCTCCACCTTGCTGTGATGCTCGAGACCTCCCAGCGGCGCACCGGCGCCGCCGCCTCCCCGTGGTGCTTTGACGGCTCAGCCGCCGGCCCGTCCTGCAACACGTGCTCGCGCTACGCGCAGGGCGCCTGGGTGCAGACTGAGAAGCCGCCGCTCTACCGGCTGACCTCCTCGCTTCTCGCGGTGCGAGCGGGGGTCTCCATCTCGAACAGGTCCACACACCACTACGGCAATTGCGCCGACCAGCACGAGCGCCGCCACGGCGGGCGCAGCTCCATCCCCGAGCGCGAGTGGCGGCCAACCGGCTGCAGGCTTGAGCAGTTTGAGCGCGAGCGCGCGTGCGCCACGCTCCGCTCCGTGGGCCGCAGCCTCCTCATCGTCGGCGACTCGACCACCGGCCAGCTCTTCCTCTCAATCAGCATGATGCTCGGCGCCACGCTCGGCCGCAACCGCGACAAGAAGAGCGTGCTCAACGACGTAACCGCATCCGCGTGCAACGACACGGTGCGGATCAGTTTCGTGCGGCGCGACCTACTCCTCTTTGCGATGCACCAGCACGAGATCGGGCAGGTGCGCCGGTGCAACCCGCGCTTCAGGGAGCTCATCGGCACCAGCCTCTATCCGCGCCGCGCAAGCATTGCGGACGCCGTCGTGCTCTCGACAGGGCACCACCACCCGGCGGTGCAGGAGCAGCTTGGCCGCTCGGCCGACGCCTTCTTCACGCGGAGCCTCAACCACACCCTCCAGTCGATCGCGCGGCTG